CCTTCCAATCGTTCCTTCGTCGTTACCATGACTCATACGCTAAGTCTTATAGTCTAAAAATTGAATTCCATTCCAACGCTCTCAATTTTGTACTTTAGAGAAGAGTGGGGCGGCGAAAATTTTCTGGGCACACAGGCTGCCAATACCCTAGCGGCGGCCCTGGCTGCCATTTCCCAAATATGTAATCCAGTCTGCTTAAATTTCAAGAGTGCTTACTCCAATATACGTAGTAGGACCAGGCATCGCCTTTGTTACATAAATGCCAGTCGTTTCACGTCTGCCAGATCAAATTCACAAAACTACACTTTTTTACATAAAATTTACGTGGGTTATGTTGTAGTACTTCAACAAAATTTATTTTATTTGTATTTCGCGGTATTTTTAAGAAAATATGAACGCTACTACTTATGATACTATAATAATTTTGTGCTTTTGTTGTTGAAACAAAGATTTTTTAGTGTTCTTGTAGTGACGTTGGGAGAATGATGATGTCACCAAAGGTAAACAAGGCATGTTTCCTTTTGAATACCTCATCACTCTTTGAAATAAGGTCGCGGGGGCATTTGTGAACCCAAATGGCATTCGTAAAAATTCGAAATGACCATTTTCTGCATTAAATGCTGTGTTCCTAGTTTCCATTGAAAGATATGCAAAATGTCATATAATGCAATAATAGCAAAAGAGAGCTTGAGACGCACTATCCGAACCAAAGTACTTTTTTGGAATACACAATTTTACAAATACTGATAGGTAAATAGTGTTTTTGAAGACTTCTTCTCCTATAAGTACGATAAAATATAAAGGAATGTTTCAAGAGAAAAACCAGAAAATTTGATAGATTTTGACAATGTCAACTTTGAAATATAAACAATACCGCTTGGCCCTAATTGGTCGCAAAATGCCGTGTTCCTCCAGGTGAGGTATCCTTTTACAGAGGAGTGCAGGTACACGGCATTGTGCGACCTATGAGCGACATTGTTTATGACTGGTTTATGTTTCAAAGTTGTCATTATCAAACTCTATCTTGGGAAAAAATAGACTGTGTATGTAGTATTCTAGGGTTCCAGGGATGTGCCGTAGACTATGAAATCTACTTTACGCGGTTTCTCTACTCGTTGTCTACGTATTGTTTACATCCACTTTTTTCCATGTAGACTATGTAAACTAGTAGACAATGTAGACAACAGAAAATTTGAAATATGAGTAATTTTTTTGAAAGTTTGCATTGCATTAAATTTATATTGTATTAAATTAGACATTTATCCGCAGTTTAATTAACTTTACAAAGCAAAAAAAAACCAAACAAAAACAGAAACATAACCTTAAAGGCCTGCCAACTGTCAAAAATTGTATACTTTACGCGTTTTCTACATATTTTACACGTTGTCTACATAGATTACATAGTTTACATTGTCTACGCGTTGTTTACACAAGACGTAGACAATCTTTATTTACGCGTAGATGCCCATTAAACAAGTTTTCTTTCCTCACGTTAGATGAATAGAAAACAAATAATATATAGGTAGGTAGTTTTTTAGTTTTCTGTGCATTAAGGGCCGATTTATTCACCTTCTGATAAACTGTCAGGTACCTATGCAATCTAAGGGATAAAGATGTAATCTGTAATCCCATTGGTCGGCCAGTTATTCGCCGCCCAATAAAATTATAGTTCGGTAAATTTATCTTGCAGATAGTTATCTAGAGATGGAATAAACCGGGTCTAACTCTTTAGTTTTAATAATATATTTTGATGTACTGTTTAATTAAGATTCGGCTATACTATATACAACGGGGGCGTAGCTCAGATGGTAGAGCGCTCGCTTAGCATGCGAGAGGTACCGGGATCGATGCCCGGCGCCTCCAGAATACTTTTTTTTTTTTTTAATATCAACTTTTTATTTTTATTGGAAACTCAGTTATGTCTGGAATTATTATCCAATTAAGAAAATTCAATATCCTGGAATAAAAAAAATAATAGAAATTCCAGAACTTCGAATAGCTAGCTTAACATCTCTTTATACAATTCTAATTTTTCTCAAATTCTTCCTATTTATTTTTCTTTCAATGTCTTTCTATTCCAGGCTTTTGAATTTTTGTTTTCTTTTTACCTAAACAAAACCATACAGAAAATTCAATGAGAAATAAGGAAACTTCAAGAATGTGGAATAGGGGCACGGGGCACTTTGAAAGAAAATCAAAAAGGAAATGAGATGTAAAGAAGGCAAATACGAGGAAAAATTACCAAAAAAATGTTAATTTTCCTCCACACAAAGTTCTTAAACTTTCATTGTTTTTTTTTATTCCAGGCTTTTGAATTTTCCTTGTTTTTTTATTTTTTTCATCTGCATCTAGTTGAATTTTTGTTTCCCCCTACGTATGTACATTTATATGTAGATGAAAATTCTATGAAAAATACAGAAAATCCAATTGCCTCATGGCATAAGTCTTTCAAAAATTAAAAACGCCCCCAATAAATCATCATTTAAAAGGATCCCTCCATTTCACCAATAAATTTACAAATAGATAAATGTTTGACTGGCTCCAATTTCTCAAAACCCCATTTTCTTTCTAGTTTACAGTGCCATAAACTGTTTATTATGCCATTACTAGAACTGGCACAAATAGACCGTGTTTATTTACATTTCGACGAAAGAGTCCCTGTATATACCAGCATGTACTAAAAGTCTTTAAATATCATCTGCCTCTGGGCGTCTTTTATTGTCTAGACTACATGTTCCTCTGGCTTTTGTAATTTTACCTTTGACAAAAGATATAGCATAAGGTTTCTAGGTAAAAATTAGTTTGAAAGACCCAAAATGAAGAAAATTAATACCCATAATCTTCAATACCTACCTGATCTAAATGCCTCCACTTCGAAAAAGTTAAAAAAAAAAAAAGCTGGAGGATATTTTAGCACGCGAGTAGGTATCTCCCTACATGGCCAAACAAAACGAAGTCGAGATACCTATTTAGATGCCTACTCTTGCTTAAATAAAGTTGATTCCGAATGAATTTTTTCTGTGTTCATATGAGCTTGAGAATTATTATTTGGTATATATTTATAAGGACTTTAAAATATATAAGATAAGACACCCAACAAGAACAAAATGACCATCTTAAAATTCCTTCATCTCTGAATCATCCATCAATGCAGTAAACTTTTCATCGAAAATTCTTATGGAATATTCTCTAGCACATTAGGCATCATGCTGCTGTATAAGATACTCCGGGTAACAGGTTTCGGATACAACAAAAATTACAGGTGGGCACCGATGGAAGGCACCCATAAGAGAAGAGAGAACCAAAGACGTTGGTAATGGTAACCCACTTGTTTGTCTTTCAATGTATATATACTTGCGGTTCATTAATCATCAATAATTTTAACAGCGACAGTAGTTCATCATTGATCGATAAATTATATAACTTTCTTATTCTAATTGAAACTATATTGAGATGGTAAATGTATCGAGTTTGGGCGCGGCTCCAAGCCCATGAGTACCAAAAAAAATTATGGCTGATGGGCATAATCTCGTATCGAGAGAAAGTGGTTTTCTCTATCAAAGCCCAAATTATAAATAAATAAACTTGGAACCAAAATAAACCAAAAGGTGTTTTCTTGAACAATAAAACCAGACAAAAGCAAACGCATTAATGGCATCCCTATAAATAGAAGGAATAATGGTAACCAGAGATGCTGTGCGTTCGATGTTGGGCCTCTCTCTCTTTGTCTTGTTTTGAAAGTTGAGTCTCTGATGGACCATATGTGCGTATATGTTTGGAATATCAGAGCCGGAACTAAACGAAATCCATTTTGATTGTTATTTGGTATAATTTTTAAATCACTCTGTATGTTTATACTGTAAGTTGTTATTTAGATTTTCGAAATCATAGTCAGTTTTTGCACTACTAACTAATTCAGGTTTTAATAGTTAATGAAAAGTTCTATGTAGATCCAGGTGAAAGAGAATTAAATTCTATATCAGATCCAAAAATATCATGTTTATACAGGGTGCTCTTGCCAAATTAGAGGTCTTGATAGTTGAAAATTCTTTTTCTTGAAGGCCTTGAAGCATCTTTCAAATTTTCAAACACCCTGTAGAAGGAGGATGAAACATGAGAATTGTATGCAAAACTTTTTTGTGAAGAGTGCACAATTTCATCATGAGTGCAATAAAATTTGAAAAGAGGTACGGTTACTCCGGTCCTGTAAAAGGTATAAATTATTTCCATACGAAAAGGGACAGGCGGACGGATTTATCCTGCCCATTTATAAAAATCACGATGGCAGGTAGACCAGCCCGCATTTTTATAGGGGGCAAATCCACCATCAGACTCCAGGTGTTGCACATCAGAAGTTCCACCCCCGTATATGTAAGCGTGAGAAAATTCGAGGGAGGCGTCAAAATAAGAGGGTGATATGCTTGGTTAGAGTAGGGTGATTAGCAATTGAACTTTTCCAGAATAGAACAGTAAAGTCGTCAATTATTATCTACATCATAATGACACAGGCATAAAACTTTCAGATGTCCAACAAAGATAAAAGCTGTTGTTCTTAAATTAGTCGGCAGGTAGAAATATGAATTTACTTTAGGTACCTGAATGCAGTCACGTATAATATAGGTATTTTACCTAGAAATGTAAGCCTAAGAGAAAAATTACGAATAAAATACAAAATTCCAAGTAGGCAATCTAATTAAAAACATGCACAGCTCGCAGTTTTCCAGAGTTCTGGATCGATATCTGGAGCAACCGGTGCCAAGTATTAGTGAAGCAGCGAGCCTTTGTCTCTCCTATTTTAATTTCTCCTTTTTTTCTGGATGAGGAGGGAAAATCGATACAAGGAGAGGCTTAATGGTGGCTAGACATGCTAGATATAAAGTCATTGATAGTTTGTAAATTGGATATATTGTATCAGTAAAACAATTTCTACTTTTGTTTCTATTATTCCTGGTAACTTCTAGGTGCTCTGAAATATTGAAAATATCTGGATCAATAAAACACATACAAACATTTTAAAAACAAACATTGGGTTTAATAGAAATATGAATAATTTACACAATAATAGGTAGTTTTTGTTTTTTGGAACACTATTTACAAGGAGGAATAGGGATAAAATACAACAATCATGGCGGGGCTACAATATTTTACGATATAAATAACAATAAAAAATATCTTTTAAAAAATCTAAATAACTAACACAGTTCGATTTACTTAAAAAGTGGGTGGTTTGCACAAAATCCACTTAGCAGCAGATAAGCTTGCAATATAGGAAAAAAATTAATTCTGATATGTTTTCGAACAAAAAAATCCTCATCACACAATTAATTAACAGAATTAATAAATAACAAACCATGGTAAGTAGACATTACTTTAATATATTCTACATCAGACAAATATACAAAGCTAAAATTACTTATTAGAGATTATAGCGCATTACATAGAAAAACAGTCATTTTTTTATTTAAAAATTACCTAAATATACACAAAAATAAAATAAATCGAGCAACGATAATAATAAACTACATACATTTTACGCCCCTCCTCTATAAAACGCGTTTTTTTTTTTTGGTAACCATGTATACAATAAAAAAGGATTTTCTTGTGTGCACCCTGTATACAGTTTTAGACATAAAAAAAAAACCTAACAAAGCACCTTTGGTATGGAATACAAAGTGTTATCAAGTTATAGCACTTTGTATAAATTATACTGGGTGGCTCATGAAAAATGAGCCACCCAATATAGAGAGTAAAACTTGGCCTTATAATTATCATTTATTTAGAAAAAAAGGTTTCCTCTAAATAAAATTGCACATGTTTCCTATATAATTATTTACCTACAAATAAGTTGATTCAATAGAGAAATTATATTATCAATGAAATAATAATGTAAAAGAAGAAACTGATTTTTTTCATTACAGTCATCAGTTGCTTTTTACAAATAAAATAATGAATCAATCGAGAAACAATGAATAATAAATGAATTGCGATTCGTGGGTAGTTAACAAGACCGAAACGTTCCCACAACTTTCAGTTTTTAAGGTCAAAACACCAAGAATACATTATTTTGCTAAAATTATATGAATATACGCGCCCATTCATGGATTTCGAAATTTTTTCGATGCAATTTATTTGAACGGATCATTAATTATTCACAACAATATGGATATTATTTTTGGTAAGCTTGCATAAAAATATTTTTCGCTTCGAAATAAAAATTATATCACAATTTTTGGTGCAAAGTATGTTTAGGTAAAAAAAGCTATATGACCCAGTGCAAACTAGTTTGAATTGTGAGCATGGTTAAGCATCATGTTATGATTTTTGAGAAAATTTTACTCTGAAAGTGAAACTGGTATTTTGTTGAATGGATTGGAATCATCACTCATCATCATTCTGTGGGAAATTAGTCTGATTGAAAAGATACAATGATGGGAAGTTTTTCCAATATTTAAATGGAGATTCTATCGTCGCCCAGACACTTTCTTTTTTTGTATTGATTTAATGGGTCAAACAACTTCATAGGAAGTAGAGGCCAATGATGAAATCCTCAGCCACCAAAAAATCTAAAGATGTTGCAACCCTTCCAGACAGCTGGTACCTTAACATTATACTGTTTCTGTTGTAACTTACTGTGTATTCACGCTAGTTTGCACTACTTACACAATATCAGTCCCTAGATGGCAGTTGCACATTTAAAGCATTTTGCAATATCAACATCCAACTTTTTGTACCAAATCTCTCTATTAAACACACCGCACTAACAAAAACCAAGAAAAAACTTCAACAAAATGTCTTGGTGCAAGATGCACCATCAAGTCCCCCCTATCTGCCCTTTTTCTTCCGTTCTTTCGCCAGTTTCCGCCGTTTCAAAATCATCTCGTAAAGTACCTCGAGCCCTTCGTGCAATCCATCTCCCGTTATAGCACAAGCTGGTTGCACGTGCCATAAATGACCGCCCGGAGCGCCGCCGTTACCCAATTCGGTCAGACCCAGTAATTTTTCCAAGTCTTTCGGCTCTCTGGCCGCAGGTAAGTCTTGCTTATTGGCTAGGACTAGGATCGGGACTTGAGAGTTTTCCGGAGACTTTACAGTCCGGATGAGTTCCATTTTGGCTTCTTCCATACGTTCCACGTCCACTGAGTCCAGGACGAAGACGATGCCGTCTGTGCATCTGGTGTACGATTTCCATAGCGGTCGGAGTTTTTCTTGGCCTCCTACGTCCCACACTAGGAAGTTGACACCTGGAATAAGAAAGTTGGAATTTATAGGCTTGAGAATTTTAAGAGCAAAATGCGTTTTATAGTCAGCTAAGGTAACTTCAATAATCGTATCCGAAGTTTAAGGTAAAATCATATTTGCATTATCACATTTCATTTTAAGTTTGTTTAAGGAATCTTGACTTAGACTCAGATTTGAGAAACTTCAAAGTGTCCTGATGGGGCTTAGGACTGAAGAATATAGAATATTGATACACAATACTAGAGAATATACAACATTGAAAAGTTAAGCATTTGAGGATTCTTAAAGGTTTAACTAAGGCTCATTTTCCAAGATTTTATAGAATGTAGACTTTCTAAAGACTGTACAGATATGGGGCCTAAGACTGAAGATTCTAAAGACGCTGAAAAATTTAAATGTTATATAAGATGGAGAAGAAGAGGAGAAAAAACCTCAGCACCAATTTGGAATCCAAATTCTCACAAGTGATTTTTATGAAACTGGGACCCTTTTCAGTTTGAATTGTACATATTTTGAGCCTTTCAGGACAGTTCCTTGATACATAACATAAGTCTCATGTCTCACTCGAGACTATGACACTCTAAAATAAAAACTTACAAATTCTTTAAAATCTCGATTGAATGCCTTTGTACACTCTCAAGGCAGAAATTGAGGGCACTTATTAGGTTTTTAGCATGAAGACTTATATTTAAGATTCTGATGTTTAAAGACTTAAGACTGAAATGTCTCATGACTCAAGACTCAGACACTCTTAAACTAAAAGTTCTAAAGCACACAACTGGAGAGTCTGCTGATTTGAGACCTAAAACTAAATATTCTTGATTGAAGACCCAACCTTTGAATATTCCATAAAATCGACTAAAAATTGTAAAAATACTATCCTACTACTGATTTTGTGAACCTATACAGGTGAAACCTGCAGGTAAAATTTGAGGTACATACTTGGTTTCTCTGATGGTAATTTTAAAATTTTTAGAACCAAATATGTTGGAGACGGCTCAACCAAATATAGACAAACTATATAGTTTTGGAATCGGGAAAATGTGTTCTCCAAGAATATAGAACCAAATATAGGGCATCCTATTTGAAAAAAGCTGAAAGCATGTAACATTTCACATTTCTGACATTCAATTTTTATTTCTGACCATGGATTCTAAAAATTTAGCCAATACTGTACAACTTTTGTTGAGAAAATTTTTATTGAGAAAATTTTTGTGTAAAAAAATAAAAAAACTTTAAACTACCCCTATTGAAAAACGGCAGGGGGTGAGTAAAAACTTCATAAAGCAAAAATGTTGTATGAGCTATAGAAAAAAATTTCACGTTGGTTGAAATTTTTCATTTTCGTTATAATATTTCAAACGGCCCTTATGACCACAGACGGCCCTTAATCAAAAAAGTCTTTAGATAAACATTGTAGATCAAATAATGTTGCACATCTTTTATCTAAAACATTTTTTTGTAAAATCAATAGGTACCAAGTAATCGCCAATGGCGCACTTTCAACCCCTATAGCGCAAAACGCCAGAGGGGTGACTGTTTGATATTTTCGGTTTTATGATCACCCACCCTCCCCCTATCATCCCTGAAAAGAACTTTTGGGTAGGATTTTTTTTTGAAAATCGACAATTTTCCTAGACTATAATGATATAGGTACTGTTTTAAATTAAAGTTCTTGGGACAAAGACAAAAGTGTGACCCCCTGCCCCCCACTGTATCCGCCACTGATTAAAAATCTTAAGATTCCGAAGACTTGAAAGTGTCTCAAACTAAAAACATAATATGAAAATTGTTACCTTTTGCTTTGCCCAACATTCCTTTAACTTTTTCGCAATTGAACCCTATCGTCGGTACAGTGTTAAGGTACTGGTCAAATTTCAGCCTGTAAAGCGCCGTAGTTTTTCCTGCTGAATCTAGACCTAGCATCACCACGTGCAGAGTACCTGGAAAGATAAATCCTCATTTTAACTTTCTTTGAAACAAAATTCCAATTTTGTTATTACCTTGTCCAGATGGTAAGGCGTCCAGTAACGAGGCATTCTTGCCCATATTTGCCCCCATTTCATGGGGCTATTAGTGAAACTACTAGCGCTTTTTTATAGTGTCTCTACATTTTGATTTTCAATACCTTTTCCAGGGAATTTAGACTAATGTCGCCTTATTGCTGGTGATGAAAACTGGTGACATCTGAAACAGAAAATTGTCGTTAATATTTAAAATAGAAGACATATAGCAGACAGGCAATTGCACAATCAAAACACAATAGAGGGGCAATTTCCTTTATTGTTGCGAACACCAATTATTCATTTCAAAACTTACTAATTTAAAATAAATACGTTCGTTTTATTGCAGCGGACGACATACTTTACATAGTGCTAAATGACACACTTAAGTATTAAAGTATATCAAGTAAAATTCCGAGGATAATAATTATGATTAATGGATAATTTGGATTTGATTATTTTTAAACCATTCAGCATTGTTAAGCATATAATATGATTTTAAATATTAGAAATACCCACATAATTGGGTTTGATTTTATTTTTGCTTCTATTGCACATTTTAGAAATTATTAATCATCATTGTCAAGTGGCTGCCTATTTTGTTATTAGGTCAACACATCATCACAAAAGATTTTCAATAATTAATTTGCAACATCCTGCAACAATCGAGGGGATTGCTTAATATTTCTCACGATTTTTTTTAAAATTTATTACCTACAAATATAATAACTAACTATAGAACACAAGAAGTTTCATCACACCATGCATGAGGCTAGATTTGTTCATCGAAGAAAATGTGCATTTTTAGATTTTTCTGAAATTTGCAGCTTGAGAATAAAGAATGGTGTTTTCATAATTTCTAATCAATCTAAGACTTTACACCCGGCGGGGTGTGAAGTACCAACCAGGCGCGTCCCCAGGTGGCGGGTGGGCCTTTTGCTAATGATCGTAAGTGAAGCAGAGGTCTGCGGATGCACATAAGTGGGCTTTGGGCTTGTAAGCCTACGAAAGCACCTGCCGCGGACCAACTTCATCCTTTCCCGGCTGTAGTTTCGTGGCCAAGGGAATAGCACAGGGATCAAACGAAGCCAAATGGGGCATTGCACCCATTTGATACACCAGGCTCTGGGTCGTCTGTAGTCATGTCTTACGGGCCTAAGTGTACAAACACAGTGCAAGCAGGTTTCCGCTTACCGGTGACTAGCGCCAACTCGCGCTTATAAGCGCGAAAAATGAATGCATGTTTTTAAATCGGCTAGAACCTTTGGCTAGAACACAGTAAAAAGCAGGTACTCTACCTGTTTGTTAGTGTGTACTAGCCGATTTGAAAACATGCATTCATTTTTCGCGCTTATAAGCGCGAGGTAAGCGGAAACCTGCTTGCACTGTGTTTATACACAATGAGTTGGGGGAACTTGGCTTAATCGCCCGGTCCAAGAGGAGACAACCTCACCAAAAACCTAAATCTCAAGTGGCGGAGCCAGGCGGACGAGATGCGTGGCTAGAAAGAAGACTAGTCTCTACTGGCTTCAACCTTGGGGCACTTGGGGGCACCCCATTGTATATACCCCTTACCTCGGCATGCAGAGCTCTGTCAAGGCGGACATTCATTCTCCAGCTACTCGTGGGACAAACATGGACAAGAGTATGAACAAAAAAACAAAAACACGGAGACAATCCTCCGGAAACAACAAGGTGGAAGCTCCTTCCACCTCAAAGAAAACGGGCACCGACACCAAGGCAAAGCCTCGATCGAGGCTTCCGTTTCCTCTCCCAGAACTGGAAAAACCCGGAGGAAGAGACGATCCGCTGAGGCAAGGACTCAGCGGAGCAGGTTGCAGGAAATACCTACGACTTCTTCACGAGGGCATGGCACCTGAGGAAGCGAGGAGAAAAGTTCCTAGAAGAAAAGAGGAAGAGAGACGAAGAAACTCCTTCAACGGCATCGCCGAGAAAAAACCCCCAAGGCAAAAGAGGTAGTGAATTTATTTCACCCCCTCAAAGAACTGGAGGGAAGAAACAGAAAACTGGGAATGAACACCAGAAAACGAGTAGACCAGCGGGCATAGCAGGGCAAGTCACCAGCTACGCCAAAGCTGCGAAACTCAATAGAATCGGGATATTGCCTAAGGAATACCCTCAGGTAATACTTAGCCCCGAACAACTGACGGCGCTGGAGAGGCCGTAGTTGCAGAAATGATGGGAAGCACAGCCAGGGGCTTGCGGTTCTTTGGTATACATTTCCGCTCGGGAATGGTATTGGTGGACTGCGAATCTGAGCAGACAGCCGAATGGCTGGTTCAGATGTCACCCAGACTGAAAGCATGGAAGGGGCCTGAACTCGTTGCGCTCTTCTCCTGAGGATGAGGTCATCAGCAAGGAAGATGAAGAGAAGCTTCTGGCGGATCAGCAGAGGGAAGGACAGGATAGTCCACAGACCACCTGCTGATCATCCCTCCTCCCATTACTAGAACATTCACCAGATTAGCGCAAATCAATCTGCAACACAAACGGGCATCCTCCGATGTGATTGTACGAATGTTCGCTAACCAAGATCTGGGACTAGTTATGATCCAAGAACCCTGGATCAATAGAGGGCAAATCAAAGGTTTGTCAAGCAAACTTTCAAAGGTAGTATTAGTATACGATAACAGGCAGGAATCACCCAGAGCCTGTATTCTCATAAGAAATGACATTAATTATATGTGTGTTACAGAATTTATGTCACGGGACTTGACACCCATTGTCGTCATTGGGGGCTGCAACCGCAACATAGTAATTATTGCTTTAGCATACTTTCCTGGAGATCGACACCACCGCCGGAGGTAGGTACAAGAGCTGATCCAATATTGCAGAAGAGAGCACCTGCCACTACTCTTAGGCTGCGACGCAAATGCACATCATGTTATCTGGGGAAGCACGGATATCAACTATAGAGGTGAGTGTTTGCTTGAATTTCTTATGACTACCGACCTTGAGGTCTTGAATGCTGATACTAAGCCTACATTCGTGACTAGAACAAGGTCGGAAGTATTAGATATAACTTTAGTCAGCTCCAGTATTACAGACCGCATCAAAAACTGGAGAGTATCAACCGAACCATCCCTGTCAGATCACAGGAAAATTGAGTTGAACCTAGAGAATGTAAAATACAAAAAACCCATACGAAGGGTTCCGAGAAAAACCAATGGGGAATAAGCCTACAAAACCAATTTACAGAACAACCTTCACTGCTTAAGTTTAGGTGGGAAAAGACACCACATGGACCTGGAGCAGGACACTAAGGAAGTCACAACGGCAATTATGGAAGCCTTTGAATCCAGTTGCCCAGTGACTACAGCGAGATCCAAAAAAGATGCACCATGGTGGAACAGACACCTGTCAAAACTGTGACTGAGATTTCAAGTCCGTCATTTTTTCAATACAGCAAAAAGTGACGGAAATTGGCAGGGATACGCAGAAGTGCTTACTCTGTATAACAAAGAGATAAGAAAAGGCAACATTCCAGAACCTTTTGTGAGGAAATTGCTGACACTCCAACGGCTACAAGGCTACATAAGGCCATGGCCAAAGGAGGAACAAATCCAGTGATGGCCCTCAAAAAGCCGGACGGCACCTACACGGAAGGAGAAGAGGAGCAGGCCATCCTATTACTTCAAACGCACATTCCAGGTAGCGTACCAGTAGAAATAACCACGGTAGTCGACACCAGTAAACCGAAGAAGGACTGGGAAGCTGCAAAGAGGGTTTTTACTTGGAACGGATGAAATGGGCAATAAGTACCTTTCAACCGTTTAAGTCACCAGGAGTGGACGCAATATTTCCTGCCCTTTTACAAAAAGGGCAAAAGGGAATATTCCCTCACCTACTTAGAATAGCTAGGACTAGTTTAGCCTCGGGATATATACCGAGTATCTGGATGGGACAAACCCTAAATCTTTTTGACCTATTAGTCTTATGTCCTTTGTACTAAAGACGATAGAAAAAGCTGTAGATAACTACATCAGAAAGGAAATTTTGGAGAAGGCACCTCTACACTCGTGCCAATATGCATACAGAGCAGGCAGATCGACAGAGACAGCGCTCTATCAACTTACAAAAAAACCCTTAAGGAAAAAGAAACAGCCCTATGTGCCTTCCTGGATATATCCGGGGCTTTTGATAACACGTCTCATGGGGCGGTAAAAATTGCTCTGGAGAGGAGAGGAGTGAATAAAACCATAGTCCGGTGGGTCTGTGAAATGCTGACTACGAGAATAGCTGAGACAACTGTGGGTGAACAATCCACAAGCATCAGAACCACTCGTGGTACACCTCAAGGGGGAGTAACCTCACCCCAGTTGTGGAGCCTGGTAGTTGATGAACTCCTGTCCAGACTGACAAATCAGGGTCTAACTTGTATAGGTTACGCCGATGATATTGTCATTATTGCCAAAGACAAGTTTGAGGGCACACTATACGACCTCATACAAAAAGGCCTAAGTACTACCGAAGAATGGTGCACATCGGTGGGGCTGAGCATCAACTCAGCAAAAACCACTATTGTACCATTTACACTTAGAAGGAAAATTCACCTAAGTGGAGAGGTTGTAAATCAAGCAAACGAAGTCAAATATCTGGGCGTAACACTGGATAGTAAACTTCTATGGAAAAAACACCTAGAAGCCACTGTTAACAAAGCTACTAAAGCCAATATGGTGTGCAGAAACTTGGCGGGTAAAAACTGGGGATGTACACCAAAAATACTGCGGTGGATGTAAATACATTATGATGGTAAAACCCATAACCACATATGGGGCAGCAGTTTGGTATGGCATAGCAGAACAAAGCACTACAAGGTGAGCACTTGATAAATTGCAAAGACTGGCAAGTGTATGTATTACAGGAGCCATGAGAACATGTCCAACAGCAGCGTTGAACGTCATACTTTTGACCTCACACCTTTATACTTGTCGGTGAAGGGAGCTGCAGAAAAGGCTATGTTCAGACTAGCTAGGAATAGGACCGAGGCTAAGAACATCATCGATCAAGGAGCATGGTCATCCCAGAAACGGTGTATTCCCTTATTCGATCTTCCTGAAGCCGATATAACCCAAGAATATCACTTTGAGAGAAACTTCCTCACAAGGATTGATAATAAAAGCGACTGGGAAAGCGGCAAGATCGCCGAATCTCTCAAAGAAA